GTGTTAACGTAGAGTGGTCAAATCCACTTTACATGATTGTGTTAACGTAGAGTGGACAAATCCACTTTACATGATTGTGTTAACGTAGAGTGGACAAATCCACTTTACATGATTGTGTTAACGTAGAGTGGACAAATCCACTTTACATGATTGTGTTAACGTAGAGTGGACAAATCCACTTTATATGACTGTGTTAACGTAGAGTGGTCAAATCCACTTTACATGATTGTGTTAACGTAGAGTGGTCAAATCCACTTTACATGATTGTGTTAACCTAGAGTGGTCAAATCCACTTTACATGATTGTGTTAACGTAGAGTGGACAAATCCACTTTACATGATTGTGTTAACGTAGAGTGGACAAATCCACTTTATATGACTGTGTTAACGTAGAGTGGTCAAATCCACTTTACATGATTGTGTTAACGTAGAGTGATCAAATCCACTTTATATGATTGTGTTAACGTAGAGTGATCAAATCCACTTTATATGACTGTGTTAACATAGAGTGGTTAAATCCACTTTATATGACTGTGTTAACGTAGAGTGATCAAATCCACTGAATAAATAAAACTGAATTAAAAACAATTCTTACTTCTGACTCTGATTCTCTCAGTTTGTTTAGTTTTTCTTTGACTTTCATGTCAAATACTTGCTCCATTTCTCTTTCCATTCTCTTCATCTTGTTCTCGTGGTCTTTTCTTTCCTCCTCCATATGTGCTAGTGGGTTCCTGATACAAAAACAAAAATCTTGTGGAACCATGGAAGGGAAATTAAGTTGCAGGGACACTTGTATTTTATCATAATAATGTTTTTTTACTATACAAAAAAAGAACAACTTAGGAATGATACAAAGTTCTAATTATGGGAACCACACGAGTTGAATGTGCTGAAGCAAAATGCAGGCATGTCCTATAAGTAAGACTTTAACACTGTTTTAACGGAGGGCAGTCAACTAACCACCAAGATATCACAACTATAGGCTCCCATGATTGTAAGCTCTTTTGTTCTCAAGACAATATTAAGCATATAACAACAGTACCTTCAGTTAGCAGAGTGAATTGTTACACATTAATAGATATTGTACCAACCAGAATATCATACAAGTGTTAGAAATTAACAACGTTTAAAGAAGACCTTTTCAGTTAATAGAGCTTGTACTTCATCCAAAGAAAACTACTCAAACTAAATCAGAAAGAAAGTTAATTTAGTTTCTGTCATTAACATTCTTTAATATGGGAGTGGCACGAGAGCAGAGTTTAAGTGATGTAAATCTGTTTCACATTATGGGCAACCGAAGTTACATAAACGTAAGTAACAAATTATGACAGTGGCTATACATGAAATAAAAAAAGGCATTTGTAAAAGGTTAACTTAAGACTACTTTTGGCACTATGGACAAATTTGAAAGCAACAGTCCAGGACAAAAATTGGCTTCAACTACTAACAACTCATAAAATAAGGTATTGGTTATCTGGTCTATGGTTGTCGAAATCCTAATCGTGTATAAGAGACGAATACTAATTGATATCTGTAAAGATTGTGTTGAGTGACAAGCAGTATGAAAATAATATACCAAAGTATTTGTATTTTAAGATATGTATAAGTTGGAAAGAGTTCTCCATGATAATGGAAAATAAGTATGGTTCGTATTCATATTTAGCCTTTATTATAAGGGCTAGTATAAGTAGAGACAACTGAGTGTGTCTCATTAGTTTAAGTAGAATATTTGAAACGTATAGTGTTCTCAGTTACAAAATTATCCTCGGTTGTTAAGTAGAATATTTGAAACGTATCCGTATTCTCAGTTACAAGATTATCCTCGGTTGTTTAGTAGTATATTTGAAACGTATAGTGTTCTCAGTTACAAGATTATCCTCGGTTGTTAAGTAGAATATTTGAAACGTATCTGTATCTGTTTTAAAATTAATCGATCATCATATAGTATCTTTACAAGATTCTACTATAAATAGCCCTAACCGAAGATAATCTTGTAACTGAGAATACGGATACGTTTCAAATATTCTACTTAACAACCGAGGATAATTTTGTAACTCAGAACACTATACGTTTCAAATATACTACTAACAACCGAGGATAATCTTGTAACTGAGAACACTATACGTTTCAAATATTCTACTTAACAACCGAGGATAATCTTGTAACTGAGAACACTACACGTTTCAAATATTCTATTTAACAACCGAGGATAATCTTGTAACTGAGAACACTACACGTTTCAAATATTCTACTTAACAACTGAGGATAATCTTGTAACTGAGAACACTATACGTTTCAAATATACTACTTAACAACCAAGGATAAACTTGTAACTGAGAACACTACACGTTTCAAATATACTACTTAACAACCAAGGATAATCTTGTAACTGAGAACACAATACGTTTCAAATATACTTCTAAACAACCGAGGACCCTATACGTTTCAAATATACTACTTGACAACCGAGGATAATCTTTTAACTGAGAACACATAAACAAGAAGTATGTCAGCTCCACATTTTTTTACAGATTGAAACTTTACAAAAAATAAGGGATTACAGGCTCCTCCAGTCATTAAACATTTTAAAGGTTCATTGAGAGTCCGGTATTGTGGACTCCAATTTAGTGTTAACTTGTTCACTACTAAATAAAATGTTCACACTTACTTGTTTGCAGTAGTTCCTGATTTACCAACAGCTCCTAGTTTCAAACAACGATAATTTTCATAGTGGATATTATTTGTCACATCCTTCAAGTCCTGCAAATGTGTTCTACAAGAAGAAAATAAATGTTATAGTACAAACTAACATTATATTTGTAAAAAAAAACAAACACGTGTATATATATATAAAACTCCAAAAAACTGTGTTCATTTAGTATAATACTATTGTAAACTTTTAAAAACAAATTACCTCAAGTCGTGACAGTTCTATATTCTGAAACATTACTGACTACAGGTGAAACTAGGTCTGACAAAGTTCTGTTAATTGTTGTTTTTAAACAAAAACATCTCTGAAAACCATCCATCTCTTAATGTGTTTATTTGTAAATATTATGCTATGTGGGTACATTGCAATCAAATGACCACAGCTACACGAGGTAACTGACCAGGTTTACACCTAATCAACTCACCTTATCATAATGTTTCTAAGGGCAACAAAATCACAGTGTTCCATGTTCTCCACTAGAAGAAAACACCAAAAACAAAGTTAACATCTTTGTACCAAGAACACACTTTTGACTGTAAAATAAAGTTTGAATTAATCTTAACAGTCTATTTAGGTCATTTAGTGGTCACTCAAATTCAAGAACAAAAATGAAGGGAGAAAAAAAACAACAAAGTTTACCTTCAACCACGCCCCAAGGATATTTTCGACCCCTAACTCTCTTCCCATTGGCTTCTACTATTACATTGCTTCCTACGACAGCAAATGGTATTCGTTCCTGGAAGAAACCACAAAGAATTTTGTAACATACCACAAACACCTTATGTTTTCATTCTTATACGTAAATATATTTCGCTATATAGATATATGTAGTTTTTTTAATTAAATGTTTGTTTGTTTTGAATTTCGCGCAAAGCTACACGAGGACTATCTGCGCTAGCCGTCCCTAATTTAGCAGTGTAAGACTAGAGGGAAAGCAGCTAGTCATCACCGCCAACTCTTGGGCTACTCTTTCACCAACGAATAGTAGGATTGTCCGTCACATTATAACGCCCTCACGGCTGAAAGGGGCGAGCATGTTTGGTGTGACGGGGGGGGGGTTAATTAAATGTAATTGTTACTCCTTCAGGCAAAAATAAGAATGAATACGATATCTAAAGATATTATCTTTAGTGGACAGTTACAAGGTTTTTTTTTCAATCACTTTTTAAGCTTCCTACCTTAATACGTTTTTGATGCTTATTCTCTTCTTCGTCATCACAGTCTGGGAATTCGTAGATCCTGATCTTACTTTGGGTTATTTCATTCAGCACCTGTACGTGTCATACAAACACAAAACTGAAGGCGTATATACTTATGATAAATAAAATATGGTGAAAACAAGAAAGACGATTTAAAAGCTGAAAAAAAAAACCCTACAATCTACAGTTCTGGAACTGGTGTACAAAATATTTTGTAGTCGATCAGATATACAGTAAAAAACAAAAATTATACCGAATTAGAACAATCTTAATGAAGTCCGGTCCTCAAGGCACAGTACAATTTATAAAGCTCCGTATTACGTACACACAGGGACATATTTTGACCCCCCCCCCAATCAAACTACAAGAAAGACCCAAATCTGTTTGCTTTAGTTAGGGTGACGCAATTTTTCCATCTATCTAAGGGAACTAAAAGCCGAAATATGTTTTTGTAATGCTTGACGACACCCCCCCCCCAATGGAAACAGAGGACCAAATAATAAAAAGGGAGTTGGGCGTATTAGATCAAGATACGTGCCCCTCCCCCACAAAGTTTCAAGATGTATGAAATACAATGTCTTCCTCACAAGATTGAGATAAACGTATCACAGTAAACGATCGCAGCAAAGTGTGTAGTACTTACCGTTTTCTTAAACTGATTACACTCTTCAGGAGTCATTGTATCTGCTTTGGCCACTAGAGGGATGAGGTTAACTTTATCATGGAGTTTCTTCATGAATTCTAAATCTAGAGGTTTCAAACTGTAAAAAAAATAAAATAATCACAAAGTAAATATTGCCTGACGTAGTCACTAATGCGTGTAACAAATTTTTATTTTACAATAAACTATAGTTTGGTTTTATAATCAAATTTTAATAAAACTTAAGTAAAGCAGTATTTAGTTCGTGAACAGAAAACTAACCCATGGCCAGGACTGATGAAATAGAGGCAGCAGTGGACCCGCGTGTCCACAATAGTGGTACGATGGACACGAGATTCAGCGTGCAAGTAATCTTCATACTTGGATTCAACGTAGTTGAGTACGGGCTGCCAGCTACAGAAAACAGTATTTAATAATTCAAATACGGTGACAAGAAAATACTAAGATTAGCCCTAGTATTTCAAAACATTTACTTGTACTAACGCAGTATAATCAAGAAGATTAACCGTATATAACGTTTGTTTGTTGTTTCTTCTATAGTGCAAAGTCACAAAATGGGCTACCTGCACTCTGTACACTGCGGGGAATCGAACCCCGGATTGTAAGAGTGGCTCGGTTGAAACATGTAGAGATGGTTTAAGTCCGGTAATTATTTAATGTTTTATTAATTGTTATAATAAATTAAACAATCGTACATTAAATAGCTTATTTACTTAATCACTCCAAGTTCGTAAACTTATCGCCGAAGCTACACAAATAAGCTATCTGTGCCAACCACGGGTATCGAAACCTAATTTTTTGCGATTTTTTTTTTTAATGTCCTGTGTTACAAAATATCACTACTCACCATACACTGTTATCCACAGCATCACCAAACCCTGGTGTGTCTACAATGGTTAGGGTTAAATTCACTCCATTTTCCCGTAGAATAACTTTGCTTGTTTCTACCTGGAAGGGGGAGGGGAGACAAAAATGTATTTCAAAAATATATAATATAAAAATTCAACGTCAATTGAACAATGAACTGAATATTATAACTATATGACCTCAGTTTTTAACGGTACAGTGTTACAAAATGAAATCAATAGGCCTAATTAGGCACGTCTATTTTTTTTTGGAGGGGTATCTGTTATCTAACATTATTTTAATGCTTAAAAAAATCAAAGCAAAAACAGCATATTTGGTTTTGATTTTGAGATGATGCTGAAGGCCTCGGCACAAAAATAACAACGTTGTCCACTTACAATCCAGAAAGATTTACATCTCAAGATTAAAAACAAAACAAAAACATTTTACACAAACGTAACTGTCACAAGTTACCTGCAGATGGCAGCACCTTCTGCGTTAAAAATGTACACATCAAGTTATAAATTACACCATCTGATCGACTTAGAAATGTATAAAAGAAGTAGCTGATGTTGTATAACATTAAACATATTTTTCTAATGGTTAACTAAACACGATTTACTGTCTCATTAACACGTCGAATGTCTGACCCATAATCATGATAACTGCAGATGAAAAGGTAAATATTAATCATAATGTTGCGTCATCGAGGTCACGTGACTGGTGTGGCGCCATCTACTTTCTAGAACTATCCTGTACTTTGGCGAATGCTCTAGCATTTACTAGATATAGGGTAGACTGGTATATAAAAGAGGGTGACAACGTGACGGGGAGGATATGTGTGTGTGTAGATAGTGAGTAATTGAACTGCAGTCACAGGGTATTGTTGAAGTTA